TTTTAAAGACAGAGTCTTGCTCGGTCATTTAGGCTGGAGTGCAGTGGCACGATCACAGCTCACTGCAGCCTTGTCCTCCCAGGCTCAAGCCATCCTCCCACCTCAGCCTCCCAAGTAGCTGGGCCTACAGGTGCACATCACCATGCCTAGCTAATTTTTGTATTTTTTGTAAAGACAGCGTTTCACCATTTTGCCAAGGCTTGTCTTGAACTCCTGAGCTCAAGTGGTCCTACCTGCCTTGGCCTCCCAAAGTGCTGGGATTACAGGTGTGAGTCACCGCACCCGGTCAACCTTTTCTTTTTCTTTCATAAAAGTTGTACTATTTATGGAGCACATGTGATATTTTGACACATACACACAATTTGCAATGATCGAATCAAAGAAATTGGGATAACCATAACTTCAGGCATTTATCATTTCTTTGTATTAGGAACGAACATTCCAATTCCACTCTCAGTTATTTTGAAATATACTATAAATCATTGTTAACTACATTCACCCTATTGTGCTACCAAACACTAGATGTTATTCTTTCTATATAGCTGTATTTTTGTACCCATTAACCATCTCCTTTTTATCCTCCCTTCTCCACTACCCTTTTCAGCTTCTGCTAACCATCGTTGTACTCTCTACCTCCATGAGTTCAATTTTTTTTTTTTTAGCTCCCCCGTAGGAGTGAGAACATGTGACATTTGTCTTCCTGTGCTTGGCTTGTTTCACTTAACATAATGTCCTCCACATCCGTGTTGTAAATGCAGAATCTCATTCTTTTTTATGACTGAATAATACTCCATTGTGTGAATGTACCACATTTTCTTTATCAATTCATCTGTTGATGGACACTCAGGTTGTTTCCAAATCTTGTCTACTGTGAATAGTGCTGCAGTAAACATGGGAATGTGGATATATCTTGGATATTCTGATTTCTTTTCTTTGGATATATACAGTGGTATTGCTGGATCATGTGGTAATATGGACGTATATACCAGGGTTGCTGGATCATATGGTAATTTTATTTTTAGTTTTATGGGGAACCTCTGAACTGTTCTCCATAGTGGTTGTACTGATTTACATTTCCACCAACAGATATGTATGAGAGTTCCCTGTTATCCACATTCTTGCCAGCATTTGTTATTGCCTGTCTTTTGGATAAAAGTCATTTTAACTAGGGTGAGATGACATCTCATTGTGGTTTTGATTTGCATTTCTCTGGTGATAATTATGATGAGCACTGATATGGTTTGGATCTGTGTCCCCACCAAATCTCATGTTGAATTGTAGCTCCCAATGTTGGAGGTGGGCTCTGGTGGAGGGTGGCTGGATTTCTCATGAATGGTTTCATACTGTCCTCTTTGTGCTGTTCTTGTGATAGTGAGTGAGTTCTCATGAGATTTGGTTGTTTAAAAGTGTACAGCCCTTCCCTCCTCACTCTCTCTTGCTCCTGCTCCCGCCATCTAAGATGCCTCACTCCCCCTTTGGTTTCTGCCATGATTGGCAGTTTCTTGAGGCCTCCCCAGAATGCTTCCTGTACCGCCTACAAAACTGTAAGCCAATTAAAACTCTTTTCTTTATAAATTACCCAGTCTCAGGTATTTCTTTATAGCAGTGTGAGAACGGATTAATACAAGTCTCAGGTATTTCTTTTCTTTTGTTTGAGATGGAGTCTCACTCTGTCCCCCAGGCTGGAGTGCAGTGGTGCGATCTCAGCTCACTGCAACCTCCACCTCCCAGGTCCAAGCAATTCTCCTGCCTCAACCTACCAAGTAGCTGGGACTACAGGCACCCACCACCACGCTTGGCTAATTTTTTTGTATTTTTAGTTGAGACAAGGTTTCACCATGTTGGCCAGGCTGGTCTCGAACTCCTGACCTCAGGTGATCTGTGATCTGCCTGCTTTGGCCTCCCACAGTGCTGGGATTACAGGCATGAGCCACTGCGTCATCAGGTATTTCTTGATAGCAGTGTGAGAATGGATTAATACAAGCACCTTCTCATATACCTGTTTGCCCATTAGTATGTCTTCTTTTGAGAAATGTCTATTCAGATCTTTTACTCATTTTAAAATTGGATTATTAGATTTTTTCCTATTAAGTTGTCTGAGATTCTTATATATTTTTGTCAATAATTCTTTGTCAGATGGATAACTTGCAGATATTTTCTCCCATTCTGTAGGTTGTCTCTTCACTTAGTTGATTGTTTCCTTTGCTGTGCAGAAGCTTTTTAACTTGATGTGATCCCATTTGTCCGTTTTTGCTTTGGTTGCCTGTGCTTGTTGGGTATTACTCGAGAAATCTTGCCCAGCGCAATGTCCTGGAGAGCTTTCTCAATGTTTTCTTTTAGTAGTTTCATGTTTGAGGTCATAGATTTAAGTCTATGATCCATTTTGATTTGATTTTTGCGTATGTCAAAAATACGGTTCTAGTTTCATTCTTCCGCATATGGATGTCCAGTTTTCTTGGTATCATTTATTGAAGGAACTGTTATTTCCCCAATGTATGAATATTCTTGGCACCTTTGTTGAAAATGAGTTCACTGTAGATGTATGAAGTTGTTTTTGGACTCTCTATTATGTTCCATTGGTCTACGTAATTTATTATGGTAGTATCTTGCTGTTTTGGTTACTATAGCTCTATAATATGATTTGAGGTCAGATAATGTGATTCCTCCAATTTTGTTCTTTTTGCTTAGGGTAGCTTTGGCTACTCTAGATCTTTTGTGGTTCTGTTTAAATTTTAGAATTGTTTTTTTTCTATTTCTGTGAAGAATGTCATTGGTATTTTGATGGGAATTGCATTGAATCTGTAGATTGCTTTGAGTAGTATGAACATTTTGACAATATTGCTTCTTCCAGTCCATGAACACAGAATATCTTTTCAATTTTTGGTGTCCTCTTCAATTTCTTTTATCAGTGTTTTATAGTTTTCATTATAGAGATCCTTTACTTCTTTGGTTAATTCCTAGGTATTTCATTGTATTGTAGCTATTGTAAATGGGATTACCTTTTTTTGAGATAAAGCCTTGCTCTGTCATATAGAGCTGGAGTGCAGTGATGTGATCTTGGCTCACAGCAGCCTAGACCTCCTGGGCTCAAGAGATTCTCCTACTTCAGACTCCCAAGTGGCTGGGATTACAGGCACACACCACCAGGTCCAGCTAATTTAAAAAATATTTTTAGTAGACCTGGGGTTTCGACATCTTGCCCAGGCTGGATTTTTAAAAATTTCTTTTTCAAATTGTTTGCTGTTGGCAGATAGAAATGCTACTGATTTTTGTATGTTGATTTTGTATTCTGCAATTTTACTGAATTTGTTTATCAGTTCTAATAGTTTTTTTGTGGAGCCTTTAGGTTTTTCCAAATAGAGGATCATACCATCTACAGACAAGGATAATTTGACTTCTTCTTTTCCAATTTGGATGCCCTTTTTTTTCCTTCTCTTGTCTAATTGCTCTAGCTAGGACTTCTGGTACTATGTCGAATAACAGTGATGAAAGTGGGCATCTTTATCATGTTCCAGATCTTAGAGGAAGACTTTCAGTTATTCCCCATTTAATACGATACTAGCTGTGGGTCTGTCATTTATTATGTTGAGATATGTTCCTGCTATACCTAGTTTTTTGAGGGCTTTTATTATGAAGGGATGTTGAATTCCATCAAATGCATTTTCAGCATCAATTGAGATGATCATATGGTTTTTCTTCTTCATTCTGTTGATATGATATATCACACGGATTGATTTGAGGTGCCAGCTCAGTTGCAATAGACTAGAGCACCAGGTAGATTGCTAAGGCCTTGGCTCCTGGACAGCATCTCTGTTCCTGCCTGGGGCCTGGAAGAACTCGTCACCCCAAAGGGAAGAACAAACACCTCCCTCCTCCCTAAACTCCTGGCAACTACTATCTTTGTACTGTCTTCACAGTTTCATTTCTCCAGACTGTCATATAGTTGGAATCAAATAGTATGTGACCTTTTCAGAGGGGCTTCTTTCACTTAGCTACACACATTTCAGGTTCTTCCATGTCTTTCTGTGGTCTGATTTCTTTTTATTGCTGAATCATATTTCTTTTCTTTTTTCCTCGTCTTCTTTTTTTTTGTTTTTTTTTTGAGACAAAATTTCACTGTGTCTCCCAGGCTGCAGTGCAGTAGCTCCATCTCAGCTCACTGTAACCTCTGCCTCATGTGTTCAGGCAATTCTCCCACCTCAGCCTCCCAAGTAGCTGGAACTGCAGGTGCATGCCACCGTTCCTGGCTAATTTTTGTATTTTTGGTAGAGATGGGGTTTCACCATGTCGGCCAGGCTGGTCTGGAATTCCTGACCTCAAGTGATCTGCCCTCCTCAGCCTCTCATAGTGCTATAATTACAGGTGTGAGTGATCATGCCCTGCCATATTTCATTGTATGAGTGTATCACAGTTCATTTATCCATTCACTTGTTGAAGAACATCTTGGTTGATTACAAGATTTGGCAATTATGAGTAAAGCTGCTATAAACATCTGTGCAGAAGTTTTTGTGTGGCTATCTGTTTTCAACTTATTTGGGGTTAATACCGAAGAGCATGATTGCTGTAACACATGGTAAGAATATGTTTAGCTTTGCAAGAAACCGCCAATTTATCTTCCAAAGTAGCTGTGCCATTTTGCATTCCCACCATCAATGAATGACAGTTCCTGTTGAGTCACCTACTTGTCAGCATTTGGTGTTGTCAGTTTTGGACTTTAGCCATTCTAATAGGTGGGTAGTGGTACATCATTATTGTTTCAATTTGAAATGGCTACTGACATGTGATATGGAGCATCTTTCCTTATATTTATTTGTTATGTGTATATTTTCTTTGGCGAGGTGTCTGCTCAGATCATTTGCCCATTTTTTAATTGGGTTGTTTTCTATTGTTGAGTTTTAACAGTTCTTTGTGTATTTTGAATGTAAGTCCCTTATCAGGTATGTCCCCTGCAAATATGTTCTCCCAATCTATAGCTTGTATTGTCATTCTCTTGACAATTCTTTTTCAGAGAAGAAGTTTTTAATTTCAATGACACAGAAGTTATCAAGTGCTTCTTTCAAGCATTGTTCTTTTGGTGTTGTATCTAATAAGTCATCACCAAACTTGAGGGCATCTAAATTTTCTCCTACATTATCTTCTGGAAGTTTTATAGATACTCATTTTTCATTTAGGTCTATAATAAACTTGGAGTTAATTTTCATGAAGGATGTAAGGAAGCTTCTAAGGGGGCCATACACTAACTTCTTTGAGAGTGGGCAGTGGTTGTGAAACTCTTAGCTGGGTCTTACAACAGACCCCAGATCCATCCGGAGAGCCCCACCTTCAGAAACCCATAGTGGAATGTGTTTCATGCATACATGGAGGAGAATATGTGGTCACATGCACACCTGCACATGATCACACACATGCATATGGTATGTCCTGATCCAGAGTTCTCTCATCTTTCTCTGTAGGTGGTTCTCTCCTTCAACTTCTTCCTTAAGGGATATACTGATGGAACATCATTAAAATTAAAAACTTCTGCTCTGCAAAATATTTGTTAATAGACTGACTCTGTATGTCCATTCATGTCTCGTTGTGTCCCCGGACTGACTCTGAATGGGCCACAGCGGCCTTACCTGGTAGTGAGCACAGATTACACCCTGGTATTCAAAGCATGTTGAGTAGGTGAGAGTGTGGGCAAGTGGGCAGTGAAGGCAGGACAGCCACTCACCAGGTCTCTGGAAAAAGCCCCAGGACAGGGATGTTCAGGCCATGTGATGCTATACTAAGCTGTTTTAGTGAGGAATGGGTGCTTTTTAAGAATCTTTCCAGAGGGCTATCAGCACAGATCTGTGTTCAAAGATTTTCTGGGCACTTAGACGTTTTGTGAGACATCAGATAGACAACTTTCTAAGTCTCAGCTTTGTCACGTGTAAAATGGGCATGAACGCTTTTCCCCTTCGCAGAGGTTTGTGGCAATTAAGTGAGGTGAGCGTGCAACGCTTTGTGAACAAACGCTTTTTGTACAAAGCTGACACGGGGGTACTTGTTCAGGATATAAGAGCTGCTATTATTACTACTCTTCATAGCATAATGTAAGGTTTCCCTTCCTCTCATCCCAGCTCGGAAGCACCTTATCAAGGTCAACTAAGCCCCTTCTGTTTCTTCTCTTCCCTCTAACCACCTCGAGGCTTCCTTTCCCCCATCCCGTCCCCATTCTTAGCCCCGCCCCTCCCACGAGCCCCGCCCCTAGCCCCGCCCTTTCCACGGCCCCGCCCACCAGACCTGCACCAGCGCATCCCTCACTCAGCGGGGCAGGAAGCTCATGGTGTAGTTTCGTGGGATCGTGGCAAAGCCCACGTGTTTGGGGGACACGTCGATGTCCTTGGGCGACTGGGGGGACTTGAAGCGGAAGTTCTGCATGATGGTGGTGAAGAAGAGAAAGAGCTCCATTCTGGCCAGGCCTTCTCCGAAACAGTTCCGCTTTCCTGAGGAGGAGAGGCGGGAGGGGTGGAGGTGAAGCCCACTCTCAGTGCAGCCTCGCCCCACTACCGACCTCCAGCTGCAGCTCTCCCAGGGGGGAGAGGTGGAATATTATGGCCTGAGAGACTTTCAGAGGAGGCTGTGATCCTCCCTGAGTCTCAGTTTCTTTCTATAAGAGATATAACAATGGTGAACCAAAATTAATATATTATTACTAACCAAAGTCCATAGTTTACATTAGGGTTTATCTGTGTTGTACATTTCTATGGGTTTTGAAAAAGGCATAATGTCACGCATCCATCATAGATGGGGTGATCCATGCCAGGTATAGCAATGGGAGGTTTAGATGTTCCTTCCTGCCCGATACACCTGCAAATACGACTCCTGTGCCGTCATCTCCTTTTTAGGGATCCGAAGAATCTGCTGTGTGACCCTAGATAAATAAATCTATGGGGGAAGATGTTTCCTTCCCTTTTGCCTAGGCGCAGGTATTGGGTCCTTGGTACTTAAGGGAGTATCAGCTCGTGGCTCAAAGGTAGAATTTAAAAGGAACTTCCAAGCTGGAGAAATATCAGACTACACCGCACAGAGGGGAGCTGGGTGAGGGAGGCACCTGCTGGTGTGAGCAGTGGCCTGGCGGCAAACAGTGGTCTCTTACCGATGGAAAAGGGCACAAAAGCATCACTCTTCTTAAATTGCCCCTTCTCATCCAGGAAGTGCTGGGGATTGAAGTCCTGGGGGTTGGAGAAGAACTTGGGGTCTTTCAGCACAGAGCCCAGCATAGGGAACACTTCAGTGCCCTGGGAGGGAAGAGGAAGGTGTATGTGATGAGGCAGGTTGGGGGATTGGTGAAAGTACACAGGGGCTGGAGGGGGAACTAGGGTGCCCCAGGTAAGCGGAAGTGGCAGGCATGGAGGAGTAGGGGACCTCTGAGGGAGGAGCCTTGGGGGATAGAAGGTTCACATCTCCGAAACAGGGAGTTTGGGAGACATGGGGTCCATGTCCTGCTAGGCAGGCTGTTTGGGGGACCTGAGACTTGTGTCCCTAAGCCAAAGGCCTAATGGAAAGGGGGCTCCTGTTTCTTAAGACAGGAAGTTTGGGAACATAGGGTTGATTCTCCTGATACAAAGAGTCTGGGAAGATGCAGGACTCAGGAGTCTCTAAGTGGGAAGGTGGAATGGATGTGGTGGTGGGGGAAGTCCTTTTGGACTGATTGAGGGAGTGGGACAGGGTCTAGAAAGCTTCTAATGGGGGTGGGATGTTGGGGACACAGAGAGGGGCTGGAAGTCCCCATAGTCTGGGGGGATGGGGAGGGTAGCACCTTAGGGAGGAAGAAATCCCGAAACTTGGTGTCCTTGTTGACCCTGCGGGCCAAACTCATGGGGATCACATTTCCAAATCTTTGGATCTCATGGATCACTGCCTCCATGTAGGGCATCTTGACCCGGTCCTCAAACTTGGGCTGCTGGTTCTTGCCGATCACTCTGTCAATCTCCTCATGGACCTTGGCTGGGGGAGGATGGGGAAAGCGTTTGGGTGTCTAGAGGTCTCAGGGCAGGGATGATAGTCCGAATAGGTAAAACGGGGTGGATGACAGGGCTCCACATATGATTCAGAGGTAGACCATTCATAACAGACCTCAGCCATACTCATTGTTGGAGTAGAATCCTGTTAACCAGACTGTGCCAGAATCACAGGGGAGGCACAGAGAGGAACTTAGGGGATGATCTGGAGGAGCAGGTAGCAGGGCACTCAGTGGGCTTGGGACAGGAGTGACTGACCAATCACTGCAGACATTTTCAACATTTTACCAACTAGTGAGACTCAGCTGATTCCTATCAGCTGAATATTGCCCTGTCTCTGGACAGCAAAGCACGTCTCAGGGTCCTGGGATCTGGGACAGGTGGGGACATTGCACCAGGGTCAGTGGAGTTTTGAGGGTCTGGGGCTCTCCACTTCCCTCCCCCTCCAGCCTTACCCTCCACCTCTGGGTACTTCATGAGCAGCAGGAAACCGTAGCGCAGGGTGGTGCTGACGGTCTCGGTGCCTGCAATGAAGAGGTTCAGCGCGGTCATCAACAGGTTCTGCATGTAGAACTCCGTGTTGGGGTTCTTCTCCTCCTGCAGGGAGAGGGAGCTTTAGGCCAACCTCACTCCTCTTGCCCTCAGGGCCCTTCTAGGGCTTTTCCTTTGGATCTACCTCTCTTTGGTCCAGATGAAGGTGGAAAGAGGGACCCTAGATCTACCAGACTCGCTCCAGGTTCCAGCCCTTGCCCTGGCTGCTGGCTTTGCCCAAAATGCTCTTCCTTCTCACCTTCTTTACCTCGCTGACCATCTGTCCTTTAATTATCAACTTAGCTGTCAATTTTTTTTTCTTATACTGACTTGGTGTTGCTAAGTTGCACAGGCCGGACTCGAACTCCTGGGCTCAAGGAATCCTCCAGCCTCAGCCTCCTGAGCCTCACTGAGTAGCTGGAACTACACATGCACATGACCATGCAGGCTCACTTGTTACTTTTTAAAAAATAATATATATATATTTTTTTGAGACGGGGTCTCATTCTGTCACCCAGGCTGGAGTGCGGTGCTGTGATCTTGGCTCACTGCAACCTCTGCCCCACTGGACGCTACCATACGCAGCTAATTTTTGGATTTTTAGTAGAGAGGGGGTTTCACCATGTTGGCCAGGCTGGTCTTGAATTCCTGACCTCAACTGATCCACCTGTCTCGGCCTCCCAAATTGTTGGGATTACAGGTGTTAGCCACCGCGCCTGGCCAATTGTGAGGATTATTAAGATGAGGGCTAATTTGAATGGGCCTGTGTTGTCTGCCCGCCCCACTCCCAGCCTGATTTCCCTCTGCCTGGCTTTGCATCTCCCCGCACTGGCTGCTGGGGTGTACCTCCTGCATGCGGATGAGAAAGGAGTCGATGAAGTCCCGTGGGGAATTGGGATCCAGCGTGCGCTGGTTGTGCTCCACCTTCTTGGCTATGAAGTCCTCCAGCCCTTGCAGCTCCTTAAAGGCCTGTTGCTGTGGTCCTGGCAGGTGTTTCATCACTGAAGAGAACATCTCATGGAGCTGGGGTTGCAGAGAGAGGATGGGAGGAAAGGACAGTTGTCAGGGGCCAGGAGCTGATGGGAATGGGACTTGTTTCATAGCAAGGAAGGAACTGAGTTAACGGCATCTGTCCAGGTGTTTAGGTATTTCAGTGGAGTTGGATGGGAAGCTATATCCAAGTTTTCACGTGAGTTAGATGCCAGGGCCACGGTCTAGTAATTTAGGTGAGAAGAACTGAGGCATATATCCAGGTTTCAGGTATGCAAATGAGGCTGGATTGGAGCACATATCTAGGAGTTCAGATATTCAAGTGAAGTTGAGTTGGAAGACACCTGTCCAGGTGTTTAGCTATTCAGGTGGGGCTGGTATGAGGGGAGTGTCACCTGTCTAGGTATGTTGGCATTCAGGTGAGCTTGGTTGGAGACAACTACCCAGATATTTATTGGGTCTGGATTGGGGGCTTTTGTTCAGGTGTTCAGGTATTAAAGCGGGGCTGGTGAAGATGTTGAAGTGGAGGGGATACCTGTTCAGGTGTTTACCTAGCCAAGTGGGATGCATTGGGGGCACCTCTGTAGGGTGTGTGATTGGAAAGCGTTGGGGAACACTTATTTGGGTGTCTGGGGAATAATCTGTCTAGATATTTATGTGTTTAGGGTGTTGGTTAGGGCAGCTGTCGATGTTTTCAGGTATTTAAGTGGGTGAAGTAGAGGGCACTTGGCCAGATATTCCAGTGGGCTAATTTGGGACATTTGTGTAGATGTGAAATGATTATGATGGGCTGGATTTTGCAGCACCAGGTGTTCAGGTATGCAGGAGGCGGGTTGAGGCAGTCACTTGTCCAGGTGTTAAAATATTCAGAAGAACAGGGTAGGAAGCACCTGTTACAAATTACAGTAAGTTGGGGATGGGAAAACGTGCCCAGGTGAGAGAGCTGAGCTGAGGGCTTGCATCCTGCCGGCAGGCTCTGTTCTGGGGAGCATCTGTTGAGCTATCCAGGTGCTCTTGGAGCCTGGGTATTGGGCACCCATCTTGGGTTCTGTTGCAACTGCCCAGTTGTCCAATATTGGGGGCTGATTTTGAGGGGACACTGTCTGGAGGGGAGTGGGAGTTTGGGGCACCTGTCTCCAGGTAGGGGAGCAGTTGACAGGTTGTGGCAGGGGCGTCACAGGCCGGGCTGCAGCCAGTTACCTGCCCCATGGAGGTCGATGTGAACTGGAAGCTTCCCAGCATCATGCGCAGCAGTGACAGGAACTCTTTGTCCTCGTAGTCAAAGCGGTCCCCAAAGACAATGGAGCTGATGACATTACAGACGGTGCGACTCAGGAAGAAGGTGGGATCGATATTGGCGCCTGCAGATGTGGCCGGAGAAGAGGATTGAGGGGAGAGTCAACTCAGAGGCCTGGGGAGAGTCAGAATTCCGGGAGGCAGGGCCCTGTTGAGCCAAATTCCCAGCGCCAGACTCCAGGGCTGAAAGTGCGGGGGCCTTTCCCCACCGAGTCCCCATTCTCAGGCAGAACGCGCGCGGGGGGGTCCCTAGCCCTGGGCGTTTTCCTGCTCTTGCCCCCGCACTCGGGGTCCCCTGCTCACCATGCGTGCCCCGGAGGGCCTCAATGAGGAAACCCGCCTCCTCCTGGATGCGCTCCTCGATGCCGCGCTTGCCCACCCCGAAGTCCCGCAAGGTGGCGATGGAGAAGCGCCGGAGCTGCTTGGCGCGCTCCCCGTTGCTGAATGCCACGCCTGAGAAGGTGAACGTTGGGGTGGAGAGAGGTCGGGGGCGGCGGGGGCAGGAGCGGACCAGTCCCAGCGGGCTCCCCAAGGGTGGAGCAGAGAGGGAGTGGGGTGGGAGAGAGATGGATTCAGCGAGAGTGCCCAGGAGAGCTGCAAACTCAGAGTGAGAGAGAGAGAGAGATTGAGAGAGAGAGAGAGAGAGACCGGGTAGAAAGAAAAGAGAATGAGAAGAGAAGCAGAGAGTTGAGACTGACAGATGCCCAGAGAAACAGAGGATTAGGGGGACACTCCATGGAGGAAGGGAAGGAAGGGGGGAGAGAAAGAGAAAGAGAGATGGAGGAAGAGGATGGAGGAAGGGGAAGTGAGATATGGGGAGATCTGGGAGGAGGAAATAAAAATGGTGAAAGATTCTTAAGCTGAGCTGAAGAAGAGAAAAAAATACGGAGACAGAAACAGAGAGGGTTTGGAAGGAAGAGAGACTGTTACCAGGAGATGGAGGCTGGAGATGTGGAAGTCAGAATACCATGAAATCCTAAGACAGAGGAAGAAGTGGGAGAGGGAAGCGGAGAGAGGAGAAACACCGAGAAGCACAGAAGCTGAGAGTGACAAAAAGACAAATGAAGACAGAGGACCAGGGTTGGAAAACAGAAACCCGGGATGTCCTCAGAGATGTAGAGAGAGGGAAAAGAGGAGATTCCAGTGAGAGAGAAGGAGGAGAGAGAATAAGGGGCAGAGAGAGGCAGGGAGGAATCAGGACAGGGACGCTGGAGACAGGTGAGGGACACACAGGGAGAGGCCACAATGAAGGGAGATGGGGAGATAAGACCAGACCAGGGTCTCTGCCATAGCCTCCAGTGGGCAGGAGAGGCAGGGAGAAGGCTGGGGACACCGAGACCATTGTGTTCTCTTGGCCACCTTCCCCCTCTTGGGCACCCCCTCACCATAGCCTTTGAAGACCCAGTTGAAGGTGGCCTGCTCGCCTCGCCCGCTGAACTCCTCAGCCTGGTCCACCAGAGCCTCCTTGACGGCATCATGTCCGCACAGCACCACGACCCGCCGGGGCCCCAGGTGAAGGGTGAACACCGGGCCATAGCGCTCACTGATCTGATGGAGGTGGGTGGGAGAGGTTAGAGGGAGCAGCCCCCACTCTGAATGGGCCCAGCACAGAGATGTCAAGTACTGGGATCCTTCGTCCCCAGGTTCTCACAGTCAGGAAGTTGGACATCCCAAGATCCTGTCTTTCCTGGCTAGGACCCTGATGATGAATCTCCAAAACTCCCTTTCCTGAGACTCTGGTCCACACTGGTCAATCCCCGCCACAAAGCCCCAGCCAGCTGGGCAGCCCCCACCCTGTGCCACCCATCTCCCTGCCTTGGGACACCTTCATGATGGAGTTGTACATCTGCTCTGTGTTCAGCTGCAGGTAGTTTCCAATGAAGGGCAATGGGGTGGGTCCTGGAGGCAGCTTTCCCTTGCTGTTCCTCTGCTGCCAGACAGACATCAAGACCATCACAGTCAGGCAGGCCAGCAAGGCCACCAGGAGCAGCCCTGAGGCCAGCATGGTGGCAGTGGGATGATAGATGGTGATGGCTGGGGTGGTTTGCCTTTATATTGCCTGAAAAAGAGGGGTGGACTTTGGCTGATTACACAATCACCTCATTTCACCTCCCCACTACACCCCCCACCATGAATCCCGCCTAGCTTGGGACACAGTCAGCAAGGGAGGAGGAGGGGGACCCCAGGGCAGCTGAACAGAGAGGGGGCCTCCAGACTAAGTCTGTGGTACTTCAGGAGGGGTGCCCTAGGGCTGTGGATTAAGGAAGGGGCAACAGATAAACTGTAGAACGGAGGAGTTTGGAATATTTGCACAGGGGAGCACTTGGGCTTTGGATTTTTGGTCTGAGAATGAGAATGTACCCCAAAGTTGTGGATTTGGGGGTTCCAGGGAGAGGAATCCAAAGGTCTGGGTTTTATTAATGTGAGACGGAAGTTGGCTGTGCATTTGGGGGTCTTCTGTTGTGAAGGATGCAGGGTTAACAGTCTCAGGAGGGGGGATTCCAGCCATATGGACTTGAGAGTCTTGGGGCTAGGAAGACCAGGGTGTGGGTGTGGAGTTTCTGGGAGGAGGAGTGTGTAGCAAGCCCAGCAGCTCCTCCCAGAAAGCCCACAGCTCAGCACTGGGCCCAGGGACTGACTTGATTTTGCTGTGGCCCAGAGCTGTCTCTTGATGCCCAGAATCCTCATTGGAACCTCAGAGTGAGGCCAGGATGGGTGCCATAGAACCTCCACTGCACATCTCTGGTTGGGAAAGGGGTGTAGGACCAGAGCCATATTTCAGGGGAACTTTCCCCACACCTGGAGGAGAGTGCCTCGAGTTATCAGTTGGCAGAGGGATTGGCCAGGTGTGGAGAAATAGTAATAACAACCCCCAAATGGTAGAAAAATCTCATGTCCCAAGGGTTGTAATTTACAAAGACCTCCACTGGTTTCCAACAAGATCCTTAGGAAAACCCACTACATTGATTGTGTCATCCTCATTAATATTATTATTGTTATTTGTGTTTCTCATTTTATGTAAGGGTCTACAGAGGACAGAAAACAGACCGTGGGCAGGGGACATGCGTGAGTGGCCCTGAACTCCCGTCTCTCCTCCTCTGTGTCCTTAGTTCCACTTTGTGGATTTGGTTTTCCCGCCAGTGGAAAGGGAGTATTTAGGAAGAGAAGATCATATTTGAGGGTGAGTTAAATCTCCTTTAAGGGTGATGCCTGCTTTGTCAGGGGTTACTACTATTAGCAGGCAGAGGGAACAATAAGAGAAGAGATTGGGGTAAACTCCAGTGTTAGGCACAGAGGCAGAGCCTGGGGTGGGTGGGAGTGGAGAAGGGATGAGTAGCCTCCTGTCCTTCCCTCAGGGAAATTCTTCCTTAGTAAACAGGACAGTTACCCTTTGGTGAGCACGGTCGTATATGGGAAGATTAAGTCTAGGTGTGTATGACCTGGTTGAATCTTTGTAACAATGAGGTTGGTTCATCATCATCCTCATTTTGAAGATGAGCAGATCTAGACTCCATAAATCCTCTTGAGTGACGTCACACAGGGAGTAAGTGAGGGAGCTGGGATGTGAACTCTCTCCTCGTCCACCTGCAGTGACTGGCCTAGATCACCCTGGGAGTCAAGTGCGGGGCAGGCTTAGCAGGAGGTGAGTGCCGAGATTGATATCAGCAGTGGACACAGGGATGACACTGGCGGGTTCTGATATCAGCCTCAGGTACGACCCGGGAGGGGAGGCATCGTGTTGGCTTTGAGACTGCCCCCAGGTGTACGCGAGGATGGGAAACAAGTTGGCACTGAACTTGACAGCAGGAGAATATTAAAGTCATGTTTGGTTCCAAGACGGCTCTGTGTGTTGTCTCAAGTGTCATTGAGGGCATAAGAGTGTCCTGCTTCTAGAGGGCATAAGAGTGGCACTATATAGGGTCTGAGGTTGGTTCCAGTGAGCTCTGACGTGAGCATGAGGCAGGGGCTGAGATTGGTCCTATGTGGGCCTGAGATGAGCCTCAGTGAGACCCTGAGAGGGTCCTCAGATGGCCACAGGACAGGCTCTGATGTTTGGACCCTCCAGGGTTGCACCTGTCCTCAGGGTCACCAACTTTGGACAAGGGGAGGTGGGTGAGGTTGGCACCCCCAGGACTGACATCTTGTTCCAAGTGTTCTGGGATGCTGAGCCCTGAGACCTGTGTGGAGGGAGCAAAGTTCAGAGAACAAAGCGGAGAGAGGAAAGTTGTTTGTTGATTTTGGAGGGGAAGAGGTGGGAAGGAGGATTAGCACCAGCTGGGCAGATATCAATCCCTCTAATCCTGGTCACCAGCCTGCACCTGGGCTTGCCCCAAGCCTGGGTCTTTCCTTTTCCTTCTTGTTTCTTAGAAAGGTGGGAGATAGAAATCTGGGGAGTTGGTTTCTCAGTGAGGTTGGCACAGGGAAGGGCACTGAGTGGTCAGCAGGCTGCCATGACCTGGCCAGGGAGGGGTGGGGAGAGACAGGCTGGGAGAACTCCAGTATTTGTGCACATAGAGGTCAATCGATGTTGGACTTGTTGATTACCCTGGGGCGTGGAGTGAGAGAATGGTGTCTGAAATCGTGTGGGGTGGACTTGTCCTAGTGGGCAGTGTCTCGGGTACAGGCTTTCAGAGTGAGTTAGTGACGAACCCAGGAAGATCCCTTTTCTTTGCTGGGCCTCAGTTTCCCTTTCTGGATGGATGGTACAATGATTAAGGCCTGGATTGGAATCCTAACCTTATCCCTTCTTTTGGCTTTGAATAGTTGACTTTATCTCTGTGAGCCTTATGGAGCCAAGAACAGCTCCTACCTCTTTGGCTATTTAGGGGAGAAGTATATGTGTTAATGCAGATGAGGTACATGGCAGTAAGTGCTCAATGAATAGTAGTTGTTCTCTTTAATCTGTAGGATGAAATGGATGGATGAGATGTTCCCTAAGCACCTTCCCTGCTTTTACATTCTCTAGTCTAAAGCTCCCAGATCTTTTCCTTTGGGTAGGAGGGAAGGGACAGAGTCTTTGGGAACCTCTTTCCCCATCCCTTCCTCAGCACAGCCAAGATTTACCCCAGGGAGCTGTGAATAGGAAATTAATCCTTCATGGCCTCCTGGAGCGTGGTGCTGAGTTTGGCAGTGTCTGCAGAAGGACAGGCCAGCATTAGACTCTCAGGTTATTCTGGTTGGCCCTGGAGCCCTGCACAGGACTTTGCCCACCTGTCTGTCTACCCGTGTCTTGGATCCCGTCTTTCTATCTTTCTCTTTCTCCTTCCCTGCAAGTCAGTGTTCCCCTCAATCACCCTGAGTACTCCTGCATCTTTATATTTTATGCCATTTTGTCCATTGGGTTCTCCTGGATGCCTCTGCCATGTTTATCGTCATTTATACAACTGTCTGTGTGTCATCCTGGGTGCATGCTTGTAGTGTCTATGTGCATGTATATTTCAGTATGTCCATGTTGATACATGAATTTATGTGTGCGCCAGGCTTTGTGGGGTGTATGTTAGTGTTTGATAATGGGTATCCATTCCAACTTATGTCTACACATGCACATGTGTGTGTGTGCCTGACGGGGTGTGCCACTGTTTCTCAATGTTTGCCAACTTTTGTGTGTGTCTCTGCATACAGCATGTGTGCACACATGATTTAGGAGTGTCTACGATGTGCATTTCTGTGTGAAACAAGATGTATGCTGCATATTCATATTTGTGTGTACGCATTCACAACTGGGTGACTACATGTAAGTATGTGGATGTTTTCATGTGTGCATTCAGGTGTCTGTATGCAGGCTTGTGGGCCATGTTGTATACATGTGAACAGCTGATATTTTTCTGTGCTCGTCTGTGTTTGGATTAAAACAGTCCTAGCCCAGCTCCATTTATCTGCTTGAAAAAAACTCCAGAACTGCAGGAAGCTTTTTATGAGCATAATCTTAATTAAACTCCTCATCACAAGACTGTGAGGTTGGTTTTATCATCTCCATTTTGCAAATGAGTTAGGCAAGGACCCAAAAGTTGGTCGTAAGTGACTTGGTTCTGCATTCCACAGCTAATGCGGGTAGAGTCTTAGTATGGTCTTGTGTGACCGTAAATTTTTTTTTTTTTTAGTTGGAGTTTTGTTCTTTTGCTCTTGTTGCCCAGGCTGCAGTGCAATGGCGCGACCTTGGCTCACTGCAACCTCTGCCTCCTGGATTCAAGTGATTCTCCAGCCCCAGCCTCCCGAGTAGCTGGGATTACCGCCACCACGCACCGCTAATTTTTGTGTTTTTAGTAGACACGGGGTTTCACCATGTTTGTCAGGCTGGTTTCACACTCCTGACCTCAGGTGATCCGCCCACCTCGGCCTCCCAAAGTGCTGGGATTACAGGCGTGAGCTACCACGCCTGGCTGTGAATGTAAATTTCCTGCTGTTAACCACCACTTTGAACTGCCAGGTCCCGCTTGTTTTTCTTTATGAAACATTAGAAAAACTGCTTGTAATCTTTTGTGTTTCTTCAAATACTTCATTTACAAATGTGTAAACATGTAACAAAAGATTTCAAAATGTTAGAAAAAAAAGTCTTTTAATAGGAGGGAGACTTGACCTTCTATAGTGTTTGCACTCTTTGGAACCTTAACCAAAGACCTAGCTGGCCAGTATACCCCTCAGGCCATTGGCAATGCAGCAGTGGGGGAGTTGGGGTACCAGTGGTTGTGGTCAGAGAATGAAATGTCTGTGTTTGACATTTCAGAGTGATGACAAGGATTGGGGGTGGCTGTGGGAATGTTGGCTGAAATAGAGTGAAGAAAGCCAAACAAGAGAAGATAGTCAAGATTCTTTTCTTCTGAGTGTTTGGATAACTCACATCCATGGCCATGAAGTTCCTCCCTACCAGGAAAATGGCAGGACTTAGAGTTCAGAGATGGGAAAGAAGTTGGATAGATGACAGGGATGAACAACTTTTTTTTTCTTTTGAGCGGAGTCTTGCTCTGTCACCCAGGTTGGAATGCAATAGTGCAATCTTGGCCCACTGCAACCTCCACTTCTTGGGTTAAACCAAGTGACAAATGTCTCAGTAATGGATATAATAATTACCTGAATTTGATTGTTATACATTGCACACATGTATGAAAACATCACACTGTACCCCACAAATATGTACAATTATTATGTGTCAGTTTAAACAATTTAATAACTGATTAATTAGGGTTATCTTTAATTAAATAATGAACAAAGAGTTTTCCTTGTTGTCTATCAAGACTTTCTAAAACAACATGGTCTGCCAGCTGTGGTGGCTCATGCCTGTAATTCCAGCACTTTGGGAGGCTGAGGGGGATGGATCACTTGAGGCCGTGAGTTCGAGACCAGCCTGGCCAACATGGTGAAACCACATCTCTAGAAAAATACAAAAATTAGCTGGACATGGTGGTATGTGCCTGTAGTCCTAACTACTTGGGAGGCTGAGGCATGAGAATTGCTTGAACCCGGGAGGCAGAAGTTGTAGTGAAATGAGATCACGCCACTACACTCCAGCCTGGGTGACAGAGTGAGAATCTGTCTCAAAAATAAAATAAAATATAAAATAAAATAAAATAAAATAAAAAAGTTTCCCTATTTGATAGATGGTGAAACAAGTCCCAGAGGTTAAGTGACTTGCCCAGTGAAGAGAAGACAGAGCTGCTACTTGTACCCAGATTGTCTGGATCCTAAAATCAATAGCCTAAAAAGAGAATAATCTATCTCTTACACCCCACCAAGAAATTCTGTTCAGTTCTGTTGAGCTGAGAGAGAAGAACAGGCAGACTGGAAATATGAAGAAAGGGGAATGGCCCCAGAGGATTTCCCTGTGTGAATTCAATTTACCCTTATTCAGATGGGAGATTATAGGTTATATAACCACCCCCCATATAAAGCAATCTCTTCTCCAATGACATTCAAACCCGGAAAACTTGAATCCCAGGGTGTTCAGATTTCGGTATAAGCTGATCTCCCAGGACCTATTTAGGCAGGATCTGGTACCCAGGACAGAACCTGTTGACCTGGCACCATGGAGCTGGGAGGGGCTGTCACCATCTTTCTGGCACTCTGCTTGTCTTGCCTGCTCGTCCTCATTGCCTGGAAACGAATGAATAAGGCAGGAAAGCTGCCCCCAGGTCCTACACCAATTCCTTTCCTGGGGAACCTGCTGCAAGTTCGAACTGACGCTACGTTTCAGTCTTTCATGAAGGTGAGTGTGTCTGTCTCCTCTAACAGGGCTTAGAGCAACTAATCCTGTAGCCAGATTCACATAGAACCTTATGCCTTCTAAAGATAGACTCTCAGAAGCACAGACTTTGCAAATCTTAGAATTCTGAAATTCCAGAATCCTGAAATGTTGGAAACACACATTCTCAGTGCACTGAAATAAGACTTTCATGATCTCAGGACTTTGGAATCACAGTACATTATATTTTTTAACACAGGATTCTTTGACTCAGGTTGTCTTAGTGCTTTGAGACTTGGTATCATGACGTCTTCAGATTCTAGAAATTTAACATTTCAGAGAGAGAAGTATGAATCTTGGAATTTATCGAATCCAGGTCCATTATTTTATAGATGAGAACAGTAAGTCTTGTGGGGAGGGATGAGCTTTTGCCTAGGATGACAGAAGCCAAGACTTCTGTGCCTGTTTCCCAGTAGTCCTTCTAAGCCCAGATTTACCTTGATTCCTTAGTACCATGTTTATATCCCCCGGAAATCACCATCCTCTAAATTCCTATTGGCCTATATGTGGTACTCCAATCAGCCCCTCCTCTTGTGTTTTCCTTCACTCCAAGCTCAGGGAGAAATACGGCCCTTTGTTCACTGTGTACATGGGTCTCTGGCCTGTGGTGGTTTTATGTGGACATGAAGCAGTGAAGGAAGCCTTGATCGACCAAACAGATGAGTTCAATGGCCATGGAAAACGGACTTCAATAGAGCAAAACTTCCAAGGTCATGGTAGGTAGCAACAACAACAAAAACAATAAAACCAGAAATGACTGCAATGTACTCCCTCTATGCCAGGTTCTTTGGTAAGTAAGTACTCTACATGACTTACTGCATTGACTCCCTTAGGAGAGCTGTAACATTATACTAATGTTGTCAATGAAAAGCTAAGACAGGTCAGGGGTGGTGGCTCACGCCTGTAATCCCAGCACTTTGGGAGGTTGAGGCGGGTGGATCACCTGAGGTCAGGAGTTCGAGACCAGCCTGGCCAACATGGTGAAACCCCATTTCTACTAAAAATTAAAAAAAATTAGCGGGGCATGGTGGTGCACGCCTATAATCCCAGGTGCTCAGGAGGCTGAGGCAGGAGAATCGCTTGAACCCTGGAGGCAGAGGTTATAGTGAGCTGAGATCGCACCATTGTACTCCAGCTTGGGCAACAAGAGTGAAACTCTGTCAAAAAAAGAAAAGAAAAGAAAAGAAAAGAAAAAGCTAAGATAAAGGTTAGATAATGTCACACAGTAAGTGGTATGATCATTTTATTTTGAGCCTATGCCATCTGACTCTAAACTGTTTTTTGTGTTATTTTCTGCTCTTATTTTTAATGGATTAGTGATATATAATATTATATTAATTATTAGATAATTATATATAATATATATATTTTTAAGACAGAGCTTCACTCTTGTTACCCAGGCTAGAGTGCAGTGGCATGATCTTGGCTCACCACAACCTCTGCCTCCTGGGTTCAAGCGATTCTCGTGCCTCAGTCTCCCGAGTAGCTGGGATTACAGGCATGCACCACCACACTGGGATAATTTGTAGTTTAAGTCGAGATGGGGTTTCTCCATGTTGGTCAGGCTGGTCTCGAACTTCCAACCTCAGGTGATCTGCCCGCCTCAGCCTCCCAAAATGCTGGGATTACAGGTGTGAGCCACCAAGCCTGGGGGATTAGTGATATTCTTTATGCACCCATAGCCAGCCCTCATAGCCCTCACAACCAACCTTATTTCTCATCTTCCTATACTTATACACATACCTAACCCATAGGTCTCTGCCTCCTTCACTTAGGTAGATCTCTTTCTCTCATGCATCCATCTCTAACTGCCCACATCCTTCAATTCCAAGCAGGCTCACCACATGCTGGCTGTCTGTCTGTCTGTCTGTCTGTCTGTCTATCTATCTATCTATCTATCTATCTATCTTTCTATTACCTTTTCTTCCTCTGTGCATTGATCCATATTCATCAGAAATTCCATTCATTATTCTTTCTATAAAAATCTTTCACTCTATTATCTATGTATTGGTCAATTAACTTTCTATTTATTCATCTATTTATCATTCCATCCATTCATTAATGCTTTCATCATTCATATATCTATCAATCTCTCTATCCACTCTCCAACCATCATTCACTCAGTTATTTTTTTATTCATCCAATTCCACCTCTCCTTCCTGTAAGAAACACTGTTTGATCTCCCCTATCACTCCTGCACTGATTCCCTTTTCCTCCACCTCAGTCTGAACTTTTTTTTTTTCCCCCGAGGATCCTGTAGAGAGGGAACCTTACTCTCTTGATTGAGCCTTGAAGGTTGAGGATGGCTTCCTGGACAGCACAGTCTAGAGCTTTCATAATCTTTCCCCATCACTGTGTAGCACCGAGTTGAACACAGCAAGGGGAGGGAGGCAGAAGCCTGAGACTGAGATCTTGGCAGGTGTAGCTCTGGCCAGTGGAGAACGATGGAGGATTCTCCGACGCTTCTCCCTGACCATCTTTTGGGACTTCAGGATGGGAAAGAGGAACACTGAGGAGTGAATTCAGGATGAGGCCAGCTACCTACTGGAGGAGTTCCGGAAGACCAAGGGTATGGGGGCCACAAGGGGGAGGGCCACTAGGTGACTTGGTGGTTATGGGGTTCTCAGGCATGAGAAGATGGGCTTTGGTGGGAGAAAGCTCTGGAATGGAAGAAGAGGGAAAATATTAAGAATCCACTGAGATTTCTTCCGTATTAAGAGTTTACATGAGCTGGGCATGGTGGCACAGGCCTGTAGTGTCAGCCACTTGTGGGGCTGAGGCTGGAGGTTGCTTGAGTCCAGGAGTTCAAGGTTGCAGTGAGCTATGATCGTGCCACTGCACTTCAGTATGGGAGACACAGTGAGACTGTGTCTCTTAAAACAACAACAACAACAAAACAGTTAACATGGAAGACCCTTAGAGACCACTTCTCTAGAAACTGTAATCAGTGGATCTCAGGGGGTCTGTGAGCTCTTGATATCCTATGCGAATTTTGGTGACATGTGACTTTGTGACTTTTCCTGAAGACAGGCTCAAATTTCATTACATTTGTCTATCTGTATTGTGGTAAAAAAAATACATAACATAAAATTTACCATATTCACCATTTTAAGTGTCCAGTTCAGTACTGTTAAGTATATTCATGTTGTGAAAAAAAATTTTGAACTTTTTAATCTTGCAAATCTGAAACTCTATACTCATTTCATGGTGATTTTAAAAGAGTTCAGTCCCACCAAAAAATAAGGTCTAGAAACACTGGGGTAGGCCGGGCGCGGTGGCTCAAGCCTGTAATCCCAGCACTTTGGGAGACCGAGGCGGGTGGATCACGAGGTCAGGAGATCGAGACCATCCTGGCTAACATGGTGAAACCCCGTCTCTAGTAAAAATACAAAAAACTAGCCGGGTGTGGTGGTGGGCGCCTGTAGTCCCAGCTACTCGGAGGCTGAGGCAGGAGAATGGCGTGAACCTGGGAGGCGGAGCTTGCAGTGAGCCGAGATCGCGCCACTGCACTCCAGCCTGGGTGACACAGCGCGAGACTCCGTCTCAAAAAAAAAAGAAACACTGGGGTTTATAGAGAAAAGACACAGAGGCTGAAAAAAACAAAAACAAAAACAAAAAAAACCGAGAAAAATAGATAAGAGGTAGAAATAGAGACACATTTTCTCTACATCCGAGGCTCCTTGCCTGGTCTACATGAGTGATTAACAGGTCTATATAAACGTTTCAAATGCCCATGTACCCCAGACATTATTCATAAAATTGTGTATTTGTGAATATGTGCATTATTCTGGAGAAATTCTTCCCAGATCTACCGATCTTGTTTTACAGAAGGTGTAGGTGATGGCAAGGGAAGGATTTTGTTTTGTTTTGTTTTGAGACAGAGTCTTGCTCTTGTTGCCCAGGCTGGAGTGCAGTGGCATGATCTCAGCTCACTGTAACCTCCACCTCCCAAGTTCAAGCGATTCTCCTGCCTCAGCCTCCTGAGTAGCTGGGATTACAGGCACCTGCCACCACGCCTGGCTAATTGTTGTATTTTTAGTAGAGACAGGGTGCTGTATGTTGGCCAGGCTGCTCTCCAACTTCTGACCTCGTGATCTGCCCACCTCGGCCTCCTAAAGTGCTGGGATTACCAGGCATGAGCCACCACGCCTGGCCGGGAAGGATTTTTTTAATTACCCAAATGGAATCATCGGTAGAGCTAGACAGAATTCAGGAACTTTTATAATGTGTCCCTTATCCCACTTTTCCCCAAATATGTGAGTCTCTAACATCAACACATTTAAGTAATAATAATAAAAAATAATGATTAAGCTCAGCTAGGTTTTCTTGAGTGCTTACTGTATGCCAGGCTTTGTGTTAATTATTTTATACGGATAATGATACTGAATCCTCATGAATCGGTGAAGTGGTTCCCAAACCAATTTGCCAATTGGCCAATCTAGACCCAAAACACAAAAATGAAGTGGCTCACACATGCAATTAAGTAGTAGAGCTGGGACTCAGATGCATCACTGTGACTCCACACCCCATATTCATGACCATGGCCTCCAACATAAACAATTTCCACTGCCCAGGTGCCCCCATCGACCCCACCTTCCTGCTAAGCTGCAGCGTTTCCAACATCATCAGTTCTGTTGTCTTTGGAAGTTGCTTTGACTATGAGGACAAACAGTTCCTGAATCTGCTGCGATTGATCAATGAGAGTTTCATTGAGATGAGCACTCCCTGGGCGCAGGTGCCCACCCAGTCACCTCTCTTTCCATGCACCAACCCCAGTTAACTAAACACTTTCCTATACCCCACTTGATCCTTCCCAGACGCCTGGGAGGTGAGTACAGTAGTTCCCCCTCATTGCTGGGGGATATGTTCAAGACCCCCAGTGGATGCCTCCAGCCATGGATAGTACCCAATTCTATAGATACTAAGTTTTTCTGATATATACATATCATGATAAAATTCAATGTATAAATTGAGTGCAGTAAGAGACTGGCATTCATAAGTAATAAAATAGAACAATTAATATATTATAACAACAGTTATGTGAATGTACTCTTTCTCTCTCAAAATATCTTATTATATGTAATATTTTTAGACTGCCATTGACTGCACACATAACTGCAATGGTGGAAGGCAAAACCAAAGTGAAGGGGGAACTACTGTCTCAATAGGACCCAACTTCTGGGAAGCAAAAGGGCCTCACCTGATTTTCAGACTCAGCACTGGACTTTAAGCCCAGCTGTCCCACTCCAGACTCAACTCAACCTAGCCCCTGGTGCCCATCACTGACAAAGCCCTTTTGCCTATTCCCACAGCTATATGACATGTACTCTGGAATCATGCCGTATTTGCCAGGAAGACACAATCGCGTCTACTACTTGATGGAACAGCTCAAGGACTTCATTGCCTCCAGGGTCAAGATCAACGAAGCATCCTTTGACTCCCAAAACCCTCGGGACTTCTTTGACTGCTTTCTCATCAAGATGCACCAGGTACCTCCTCTTCTTCCACTGGTCCCTCCCTCTCATCTCCCCAACCTCTAGTCCCTGCAACTTTCCACCAATCTGCAAACATTGAGGGCAAAACAAAACAAAACAAAACATAAAAAAAACAAGCATTATTTCACAGCGTTTACTTTTATCTGTAGATGAATATAGAGACTGTAAAAGTATAAACTGTTACAACTTTAAAACAGACTTTGAATCTAGAAATTTCAGGAATTTGGAAAATTTAGGAACTTGGAAACTTAAAATCTTACACCTTATACATGCCAGAGAGTTACAACTGTAGTTTTGAATCTTAGAATCTCAAAAACCTAGAAATTTAAAGTTTTTAAATGTAAGACTTTAAACATTTAAGTTAAAGTTAAAAGACTTGAACGTGTAGGGACAGTAGGGTATAGAATGTAAATTTCCAAGGTCAAAGGTTCAATAACATAAAAATATAAATTTACAAATATATAAAACTTTAAGAAATGATGATGCAGAAGTGTTAACCTTCTGAATTTGTATAGAGATATATCTCTATTTCTATATCTCTTTAGAAATTTAGAAGGTTAATACTTCCATATCATCATTTCTTAGAGTTTTATGCATTTGCATATTTATATTTTTATATTATTGAATCTTTGCCCTTGGAAATTTAAATTCTATATCCTACTGTCCCTACATGTTCAAAACTTACAAGGCATCCTACATTCTTCTCCTCCCATCCTCCCTGTTGTTCACTCCATCCCATCCACCCTGGCTTCTGCCTTGCTGTTCCTCTAACACACCAGGCACGTTCCTGCCACAGGACCTTTGTTCTGACTGTGTCCTCTCTCAGACACGTTTGGTTTACCCACCTCCTGTCTCCATATACGATAGACAATAAAGCCAATGAGAAAATAAGACAATAGGCCAAGCGCCGTGGCTCAGTCCTGTAATCCCAGCACTTTGGGAGGCCGAGGTGGGTGTATCAACTGAGATCAGAAGTTTGAGAGCAGCCTGGCCAACATTTTATATTTTTTCATATTATTTTTCTTTTTTTTTTTTGAGACAGAGTCTTTCTCTGTTGCCCAGGCTGCAGTGCAGTGGCATGATCTCAGCTCATGCAACCTCTGTCTCCTGGGTTCAAGCGATTCTCCTGTCTCAGCCTCCTGAGTAGCTGGGATTACAGGCGTGTGTCACCACACCCAGCTAATTTTGTATTTTTAGTAGAGACAGGGCTTCACCATGTTGGCCAGGCTGGTCTCAAACTCTTGACCTCAGGGAATCCACCTGCCTTGGCCTCCCAAAATGCTGGGATTACAGGTGTGAGCCACTGCGCCCAGCCTCACATCTTTTTTTTTCTAACTCCGATTCTCCTGCCTCTCTCTTATACAGACACACAATATTCTATTGAGGGCCAATCTCGACAACCCAGGCTAATCTTTTTGTCTCAAGATTCTTAATTTACTGGCATTTTCAAAGTCTCTCTTGTCTTTTTGTTACCCTTATATACACAGCCTTCCAGGCATTAGGTTTTAGAGACTTGGAGGTGGTTATCTTTGATGGCCATTATTAAGCCAACTGCCCTGCCAAAGTTAAGTAGAATCCGTCTCCAATAAATTATGATCTGGTCCATTTGAGTAACTTTAGTAATGAGAAACTCATTACTTGCTTAAGGAAAGTTCCCAATTTTGGCCCCTCTCCTTAATAATACAATTCAAAACAAGCCAAAGGATTTCTCCTGGTGCAGATGAGAGACACTAACACACTTCCACTCAAACGTTTCTAGTCTTAGCTCCATTGTCTGAGTTGTCTTTCACGGGTCTAAATAATCAGGCCGGGTGCGGTGGCTCACACCTGTAATCCCAGCACTTTGGGAAGGCAGAGATGGGCAAATCGCTTGAGGCCAGGACTTCAAGACCAGCCTGGCCAACATGGTAAAACCCTGTCTCTACTAAAAATGCAAAAATTAGCCAGGTGTGATAGTGCACACCCGTAATCCCAGCTACTTGGGGGGCTGACACACGAGAATCATTTGATCCCAGGAGGCAGAGGTTGCAGTGAGGCAAGATTGCACCACCACACTCCAGCTTGGGGGACAGAGCGAGACTCCATCTTGGAAAAAAAAAAAAAAAAAGAAAAAAAGAAAATCAAATATTTAGTGGATGCTTCTATGTGCCAAGCACTGTCCTAGTTCCTTGTACACCAGATTTATGTAATGTTTACAACTCTATGACCTTGTCCAACCATCACACTCATTTTGAAGATGATGAAACCCAAGTTCAGAAGGTGAAGTCACTCATCCCTAAAACGCAAAGAGGAGTAACTCCACCAGTGGTGATCTTAATCAGTCACGTAACCACTTGCCATTTGTATCAATCCTGTCCTAGTCACCCAGCATGCCTCTTTCCCATTCTGTAAAATACCCATGTATGAAAACCAAGCTGGGACCATGGTTTTTTGATGCTTTTAAGTAAAGACCAATTGTCCTGGCAGCGTTCCAGACTCCAAGCTGCCTGTTTCCCGATGTCTGACGAATAATTGAGCACCACCAGTGTGTCAGTTGTTAAGTTAAAGAAGTGACGAAACAGGCCAGATGCCTTGACTCATGCCTGTGATCCCAGCACTTTGGGAGGCCGAGGTGGGTGGATCATGAGGTCAGGAGTTCGAGACCAGCTTGACCAACATGGTAAAACTCCATCTGTATTACAAATACAAAAATTAGCCGGGCGGATGGCAGGTGCCTGTAATCCCAGTTACTCAGGAGGCTGAGGCAGGAGAATCACTTGAACCTGGAAGGCGGCGGTTGCAGTGAGCCGAGATCGTGCCATTGCACTCCAGCCTGGGTGACAGGCTGTCCAAAAAGAAAAGAAAAAATAAAAGAAGCAACCAAACATGCATGGCTTGCATCTGACATCTCTTTCTGCTGGAGCTTGGAATGCATGATTTGCCCTGGCTTCCCTAACAAAAACACCCTTTTATTTGTGTGTGTGCCATTCTCCGCTATATTTTCTGGCCCCTTCCAGCTAAGATCCACAAAGAGATTAACCAGGTGATTGTACCACACCGGCTTCCAAGTGTGGATAACCGGGTCAAGATGCCCTACACAGATGCCGTCATCCATGAAATACAGAGATACAGAGACTGGTAGACATCGTGCCCATGGGTGTCCCCCACAACGTCATCCGGGACACTCAATTTCGAGGCTACCTTCTGCCCGAGGTGGGGTAGCCCCCTCATTGCCTCCCTTCCACTGCACTCGTCTCTCCCCCTGGTTCCCTACTCCTGTAGCCCAACACTGATTTCTCCTAACTGCCCCCATTTTCACCCCAGGGCACAGACGTATTTCCCCTGCTTGGCTCTGTCCTCAAAGACCCCAAATACTTCTGCTACCCAGAAGCCTTCTATCCCCAGCACTTTCCGGATGAGCTGGGCCGCTTCAAGAAGAATGAAGCGTTTGTGCCTTTTTCCTCTGGTAGGTTTCTCTGATCTGACTTCCCCCAGGCATGTGCTAAATCCACCCCTCAGCCACTGGTCTGTATTTGAGGTCAAAGTCATAATGTGAATTTGAAGGTTATATCTTAGAACCATAAAGTTTTAGAATCCCAGAATTAGTAAATATTGGAACGATTATCCCTGATAATTAGAAAAAAAGTTAGGATGGCAATAGCACTAAACAGGGCATAAACCAACTGGCTGTTAAGAAGAAAATAAGATATATTTTCTATGTTTCCAGGCAGATAGCCTCTGAACCTTTGCCATTGATCTACAAAAGCAGCCATAGACAATATGTAAATGAATGAGCATGTGTGTGAACCTGAAAAACTGTTTACAGACAATGAAATTTGAATTTTGTTTTATCTTCATATATCACAAAAGAGTCTTTTTTCCCCAACCATCTTAAAATGCCAAAAGCATTCCTAGTTTGCAGGCTGTATGAACACAAGCAGCAGGGCAAATTTGCCCAACAGACAGTCATTTGCCTACTCATGGCAAAAAATCTTTATGCGGCAACAATTTAAGTGTATGTTGGTGGGGCACAATGGCTCACACCTGTAATCCCAGCACTTTGGGAGGCCGAGACAGGTAGAGCACTTGAGGCCAGGAGTTCGAGACCAGCCTGGCCAACATGGTGAAACCCTATCGCTACTAAAAATACAAAAATTAGCCAGGCATGGTGGCATGTGCCTCTAATCCCAGCTACTTGGGAGACTGAGGCACAAAAATCACTTGAACCTGGGAGATGAGGTTGCAGTGAACCGAGATCATGCCACTGCACTCCAGCCTGGGAGACAGAGTGAGACCCCATCTCAAACAAACAAAAAACAACAACAAAAAGTGTATGTTGTTTGGATCCTGGAGTCAGGGCAGCGGTTGGGAACCTGGACTCCACTCCACCTTTTAGAAATGGGTGAGTCACTTCAGCCCCCGTCTGTGAAACAGAGATTCATCCCTCCAAACGATTGGAAGAGCGGCTTACAAACAGTAGGTGTTATTAACGGTGAGTTTTCACTTTTTTTCTCACCAGTGTCTGGCACATAATAGGCATTTGACAAACCCTTGAGGAACTGAAATGAACACAACCTTGAAACTCATGGATCCTATAGAACCATTCCCTCTTGGAATGGGATGGAATCAGAGCCATCAGAGAAGTAGCAGGTCCTAGCTGAGCCTAACTATAGACACCCACTAAGCCTGTGTAACACCCCTTTATAAAGCAGGCACAGTCATGAGCCCTGAGGTGCTGATGAGGCAGCTGAGGCTCAGTGGGGTGGTCAGTCCAGACACCCCCGACACCCCATGACCTGTGCAGGTGCGACCCTTCCTTCTGTCCTCCCCTGTGCCTGCAGGAAAGCGCATCTGCCTGGGCGAGGCCATGGCCCGCATGGAACTCTTTCTCTACTTCACCTCCATCCTGCAGAACTTCTCTCCACGCTCGCTGGTGCCGCCTGCGGACATCGATGTCACCCCCAAGCTCTCAGGCTTTGGTAACATCCCCCTGACTATGAACTCTGCCTCGTGGCCGCTGAGCGCCACCTGTGGGGCAAGGAGGAAGCGGTGAAGAATGCAGCTCCACCAATGACACGGAGGTAGACCATTCATAACAGACATCAGCCATTTGCATTGTTGGAGCAGGGTCCTGTTAACCAGGTTGTGCCAGAATCACGGGGGAGGCACAGAGAGGAACTTAGGGGATGATCCAGAGGAGCGGGCAGTGGGCACTCAGTGGGCTTGGGACGGGAGTGACTGACCAATCACTGCAGATATTTTCAGTATTTTAATAGCTAGTGAGACTCAGCTGATGCCTGTCAGCTGAATATTGCCCTGTCTCTGGACAGCAAGGCACGTCTCAGGGTCTCCTCAAGGACCCTGAGGTGGGGACATTGCACCAGGCTCAGGGGAGTTTTGAGGGTCTGCGGACCTCCTCTTCAGTCCCCCTCCAGCCTTACCCTCCACCTCTGGGTGCTTCATGAGCAGCAGGAAGCCATAGCGCAGGGTGGTGCTGACGGTCTCGGTGCCCGCAAAGAAGAGGTTCAGCGCGGTCAGCACCAGGTTCTTCAAGTAGAACTCCGTGTTGGGGTTCTTCTCCTCCTGCAGGGAGAGGAGGCTTTAGGGCAATCTCATCCCTCTTGCCCTTAAGGCGTGCCACCACATCTGGCTAATGTTTTAAAAAATTTATTGAAAAGACCGCCTCCTGCCATGTTGCCCAGGCTGGTCTCAAACTCCTGGGCTCAAGCAATCCTCCTTCCTCAGCCCTACAAAGTGCTGGGATTTCAGGTGTGAGCCATTGCTCACAGCCCAGATTATTATTTATTTATTTATTTTTTGAGATGGAGTCTTGCTATGTCACCCAGGCTATAGTGTAGTGGCATGATCTCAGCTCACTACAGCCTCCACCTCCTTAGTTCAAGAGATTCTCCTGCCTCAGCCTTCCAAGTAGCTGGGATTACAGGCGTGCACTACCATGTCTGGCTAATTTTTGTATTTTTAGTAGAGATGGGCTTTCACCACGTTGGCTAGGTTGGCCTCGAACTCCTGAACTCAAGTGATCCCTCCTTCTCACCCTCCCAAAGTACTGGGATTATAGGTGTGAGCCACTGTGCCTGGCCGAGGCCCAGATTAAAATGTTAAAAAAAAATGCTCTTAACGCAGATTCACCTTAGGTCAACATTTTAACCCATTCCCAATGTGATTTGTTCTATTCTATCAATCAATCATCTATCTATCTTACTGTGTTTTATGCTACTATAACAAAATACTACAGACTAGGTAACTTATTTATTTGTTTGAGATGGAGTTTCACTCTTGTTGCCCAGACTGGAGTGCAAATGGCATGATCTTGGCTCACTGCAACCTTCGCCTCCCGGGTTCAAGTGATTCTCCTGCCTCAGCCTCCAGAGTAGCTGGGATTACAGGCACCTGCCACCACGCCTGGGTAATTTTTGTATTTTTAATAGAGACAGGGTTTCACCATGTTGACGAGGCTGGTCTTGAACACCTGACCTCAAGTGATCTGCCCACCTTAGCCTCCCAAAGTGCCAGGATTACAGGAGTGAGCCATAGCACCTGGTCTACTTATAAAGATAGAAATTTATTTCCCACAGTTCTGGAGACTGGGAGTCCAAGATCGAGGAGCTGGTAGGTTTGGTGCCTGGTGAGGATCAGGTTTCTACTTTCAAGATAGCATCGTGTTGTTGGATCCTCCAGAGGGGAGAAACCTTGTGTCCTCACATGGGTGGAAGGCAGAAGACCAAGAGAGGTGAAGTTCATCCATCAGGCCCTTTTGTAGGGTACCTAATCCCATTCATGATGGTGGAACCCTCCTGACCCAATCACCTGTCATAGGCCACACATCCCAATATTGTTGTATTGAGGATTACATTCCAACATGGATAAAAACATTCAAACCATAACAATATCTATTCAGTACTTTTTCTGAACCACTTAGGGTAAATTACATACAACATAGCTTTTACCTGTAAATACTTTGGAGTGTATTTCCTAAGAATAGGGACATTTTCTGATATAACTGCAGCTATATATATATATTTATCAGCTATAGTAAATTTAACGCTGATGATGCAATACTTTCATCCCTAAGGTTTATACTCCAACTGTTGGTTTGAGAAGTAGTTTGACAACTTTGAAATGAAATGGCAGTTTCTTTGTTGCCTGAGTGACGCCACGCTTAAGACTCACTCATGGTTGGGCGTGGTGGCTTATGCCTGTAATCCCAGCACTTTGGGAGGCTGAGGCAGGAGGACTGCTTGAGGCCAGGAGTTTGAGACCAGCCTATGCAACACAGTGAGACCCTGTCTTTACCAAAAACAGAAACAAAACAAAATAAAACAAACAAACAAAAAATCACATCTAAGTTTCCAGAGGCATCACAACAGTTAAAGGCAAGGGCCCTGGAACCAGGGAGCTGGGCTTTTGATCCTGGCTCTGAATCCCATCAGAAAACTGACCTTGATTAAGTTATGTGATCTCATCATGCCTCAGTTTCCCCAGTGGTAAAATGGGGATAATTTTAGAGATGCGTGGTGAAAACATTTATAGGTGAATTGATGCAAGCTCTGGACTTTGCTTCAAAATAATCCCAATTTTTGGGGGTGCGGGGAGGGGAATTGTCGGGAGCATAGATGAAACAAGATTGGCCATGAGTTGATCATTGTTGAAGCTGGATGATGAATACATTCTTACATCTACTCTAGTGTATGTTTGAAATCATCCACAGATAAAACAGTTTTTTCAAAGAAAAGTAAAACTGAAGGACATGAATAGACAATTCTCAAAAGAAGATATTCAAATGGCCAACAAACTTATGAAAAAAATGCTCGACATCACTCATTATCAGGGAAATGCAAATTAAAAACACAGTGAGATACCACTTTACTCCTGCAAGAATGATCATAATTAAAAAATCAAACATACAGATGTTGGCCATGGATGTGGTGAGAAGCGGACTTTTACACGTCTGGCGGGAATGTAAACTAGTACAATCACTATGGAAAACAGTATGGTGATTCCTTAAAGAACTAAAAATAGAACTATCATTTGATCTAGCAATCCCACTACTGGGTATCTACCCAAAGGAAAATGAGTTGTTACATGAAAAAGACACTTGCATGCACATGTTTATAGCAGCACAATTTGCAGTTGCAAAAATATGGAACAAATCTAAATGCCCATTGACCAGCCAGTGGATAAAGAAAATGTAGTGCAGGCGTAGTGGCTCATTCACGCCTGTAATCCCAGCACTTAGCGAGGCCGAGGCGGACAGATCATGAGGTCAAGAGATTGAGACCATCCTGGCTAACATGCTGAAACCCCGTCTCTACTAAAAATACAAAAAATTGCTGGGCTTGGTGGTGCACGCCTGTAGGCTGAGGGAGGAGAATCACTTGAGCCTGGGAGGTGGAGGTTGCAGGGAGCCGAGATCGCACCACTGCACTCCAGCCTGGTGACAGAGTGAGACTTCGTCTGAAAAGAAAACAAAAACAAACAAACAAAAAAAGTATTTATTCACCAAGGAATACTGCTCAGCTACTCAGCCATAAAAAGGAACAAAATAATGACATTTGCAGCAAGCTGGATGGAGGTGGAGACCATTATTCTAAGTGAAGTAACTCAGAAATGGAAAATCAAATATCGTATATTCTCACTTATAAGTGGGAGCTAAGCTATGAGGGTGCAAAGGCATAAGAATGTTATAATGGACTTTGGGGACTCAGAGGGGAAGGGTGGGAGGGGAGTGAGGGCTAAAAGACTACACATTAGGTATAGTGTAAACTCCTCAGGTGACGGGTGCACCAAAATCTCAGAAATCAGCCCTAAAGAAATTATCCATGTAACCAAAAACCACCTGTTCCTCAAAAAATATTGAAATAAGAAAAGAAAAATGGGTGAAAAGTGGAAGGGGTGCCGATTACAACTTACCTGCCTTAGCGGGTTGTTAAGAGGAGGGATTAAATAATTTAAATTAAATCGGCCGGGCGCGGCGGCTCACGCCTGTCATCTCAGCGCTTTGGGAGGCTGAGGCCGGAGGATCACGAGGTCAGGAGCTTGAGACCAGCCTGTCCAACATAGTGAAACGCCATCTCTACTAAAAAAATCACAAAACATTAGCCGGGCGTGGTGGCAGGCCCCTGTAATCTCAGCTACTTGGGAGGCTGAGGCAGGAGAATCCCTTGAACCCGGGAAGCAGAGGTTGCAGTGAGCCGAGACCATGCCACAGCACTCCAGCCTGGTCGAAGAGTGGGACTCCGTCTCAAAAAAGAAGAAGAAGAAGAAAAAAATCTAAGTAAAGCACTTAGAATAATGACTGGCACATAGTAAATGCTGTTAGTTGCTGTTCTTCCAGGCCAGAAGCAGCGCAATGTTACCACCAGGTGGCGCTGTATTCTCCCTGCTCCACAGGTTACTCAGGCTCAGAGTCCTGGGGGGCATCACAACAGCCCTGAATTTGAATCCTGCTCTGCCGCTGCCTGGTTGAGACTTTTACTACCTGCCTAGCTGAGACATTTACTAGCTCTAGGCCTCATTTTATTCATCTCATTACTTTTCTTCTTCTTTTTGAGACAGAGTCTCACTCTGTCGCCCAGGCTGGAGTGCGGTGGCATAATCTCGGCTCACTGCAACTTTCGCCTTCAGGGTTCAAAGGATTCTCCTGCCTCAGCCTCCCGGGTAGCTGGGATTACAGGTGCCTGCCCCACGTCTGGCTAATTTTTGTGTTTTCAGTAGAGACGGGGTTTCACCATGTTGGCCAGGCTGGTCTTGAACTCCTGACCTCCTGTGATCCACCCACCTCGGCCTCCAATGTGCTGGGATTACAAGCCTGAGCCAACACACCAGGCAGAAAGCTGGTTTTCTTGAGAGGTGATGAAGACTTGAGGCCACGTCAATCATACCTGAGTTAGAATTCCAGTTCCAGCACCTACAATCTATATTTCCTTTGATAAATGACTTCACCAGTCTGCCCTTCAGTTTCCTCCTTTATCAAGTGAGTATTTTAACAAAATCTCTATATAACATACAGCAATCACGATGGATACACCATGAGGATTCAATATGATACTGTAGGAAATCCTTTAATGCAAGGCTTGGCACCAAAAGCAACTCCTATCAACCTTAAAATATTAAGACTAATATTAAACTAATACTTGAGGGCTTATTATGTGTCAGGCACATAACTCGATGAATTCTCATAGTAACACCATGAGACAGATAATACTGTCATGATCCCTGTATTATGGGAGAGGGAACTGAGGCTCAAGGAGATGTTACTTGTGGAAAGTCACACATTTGGGATTTAAAAAAAGGCATCCTGTCTCCAGAACCCATATTACTCACCATTATGCTAGACTGGACTCCCTCACCCTCCTAACCCATCTTGTGTGCCCCAAATTCAAGTTTCTTCTGGGTGCAAGGTCTTTGAACAGCCAGAGGTCTTCCATCCCTTCCATCTTCTCTACTGGAGTGGAGGACTCAAGAAGTAGAAAATAGGCCAGGCGCGGTTGCTCACACCTGTTTTCCCAGCACTTTGGTCTGGGGTCAGTGTTCAGGCGGAAGCAAGGCTTGGGGTTCAGGTTGTCCATTTTTCATTTTCTCAGAATATTTACTGACATGTTGTCAGCTGATATTTTGAGATATCCAAGCCCTGGCCCATTCCCGCACCAGATAAAGTCCAAAAGCTAGGCTAGGATAGCATGTTCAATCTCTCTCTCCTTCTATCACCACATCACCTTTTCTTTGTTTGTTTCTTTCTTTCGTTCGTTCGTTCTTTTTTTTTTTTTTTTTTTGCCAGGATCTCACTCTGGCACCCAGGCTGCAGTGCAGTGGCATGGTCTTGGCTCACTGCAGCCTCGACCTCCTGAGCTCAATGGATTCTCCCACCTTAGCTTCCCAAGTAGCTGGGACTACAGGCATGTGCCACCACATTCAGCTTCTTTTTAATTTTTTATAGAGAGGGTAGAGAGGGAGTCTTGCTATGTTGTCCAGGCTAGTCTCAAACTCCAGGGCTCAAGCAGTCCTCCTACCTCGGCCTCCCAATATATTCTGGGATTACAGGTGTGAGCCACCGCACCCAGCCTACATTACCTTTTCTTACTCGGTCCCTCCTGCCTCCCTCTAAAAAGGATCCCTGTGATTACATTAGGCCCAGCCAGATAGTCTAGAGCAAACTTCTTGTCTCAGAATCCTCAACTTAATCCCATCTGCAAGGTCCTTTTTACCACGTAAGGTAACAAATTCACAGGTTGTAAGCATAAGGACATGGACATCTTTGGGGGCCATCACAGCCTGCCACGACACCGTGATCTGTAACAGCCTCACACTGGGTCAGGCCCTTCACTGACTCCCAGTCACACACTCACTGACTCCTTATAGCAGCCCCATGATGAGAGAAGTGCCATCAGACCCATTTTACAGATGAGAAAACTGAGACTCAGAGAAAGGAAGTCAGTTTGCCAAGTCACACCAAGACTGAGAGACCAATGAAGATTCAAACCGCGTCCATCTAACTCCAGATCTGGTTTTCTGGGCTGTGCTATTGTGTCCTGGGTGCTGTGTTGAAATGTGTTGTTTCGGCCGGGCATGGTGGCTCACGCCTGTAATCCTAGCACTTTGGGAGGCCAAGGTGGTGGATCACTTGAGCTCGGGAATTCGAAACCAGCCTGAGCAACATGGTGAAACCCTGTCTCTACAAAAAATACAAAAACTGGGCCTGGCACTGTGGCTTATGTGTGTAATCTTAGCACTTTGGGAAGCTGAGGTGGGCGGATCACTTGAGGTCAGGAGTTCGAGACTAGCCTGGACAACATGGTGAAACCTCATCTCTACTAAAAATACCAGAAAAAAAAAAAAAATTAGCCAGGTGTGATCTCAGCTCCTTGCGGCGGCTGAAGCAGGAGAATCACTTGAACCCGGGAGGCAGAGGTTGCAGTGAACTGAGATCCTGCCACTGCACTCCAGCATGGGCGGTGGAGCGAGATTTCGTCTCAAAAAAAAACAAAACAGAAAAACAGAAATGTGCTGTTCGGTATTTACTATGGTCTGTTCAGCTGTTGGACGGCCAGATGCTAGGTGTTGTGTTATTTCTGGGTGAGATCGTAGAGTTGTCAGGCGCTGCATGTGGTTTTGTGTTGTGTCATCTGCTGGCTGCCAACGTTGTTGCGTTGCTGCATAGTGTGGCCTTTGTTCTGCTGCCTTGATTGTACGTGTTGTGATGTCACATCGTGTGTTGGGTGCTGTCTGCTGGGTTGCTGTGTACTAGTGTGTGTTGTGTGGCAGGATTATGGAGCTGTATGCTGGCATTATGTGTTGGTGTGTGGTTACCATGTCTTGGGATGTTTCCAGGCTGGTTGTTAGGTCACTGAGTGTCCTGTGTTGGCATCTACTGTGATCGTATTTGCTGGGTGTCCTGTTGCCCTGTGATTGCCTTGTGCTATGTTGCGTGCTGTGTGTTGTGTTGCCAAGAATAGCCGGTTCTGTGGTTGGGTATTGTTGCTGTGGATGTGCTGCAGGAAGTTGTGGGTTCTGTGCTGTCTGTGGCATTGACACATGCTTTTGGGGTGTTGTTAAGCAGCATGTTGTGACCATGTGCCTGTGCTCTGCACCGCAAGACACGTTGCCATGGTTGAGTCGGATGTTGTGCACATTAATGGTGTTGCTGCATGAGGTCTGGTGTGCTGCACATCGCGTCTTCCTGATCCATTCCATTCCCCACCCTCAGGCGAGCCCTTTGACCCCACGTTTGTGCTGAGTCACTCAGTGTCCAACATTATCTGGTCCGTGCTCTTCGCCAGCTGCTTCCACTACGATGATGAGCGTCTGCTCACCATTATCCGCCTTATCAATGACAACTTCCAAATCATGAGCAGCCCCTGGGGCGAGGTCAGCCAACTGAATCCAGCTGGGACGGGGTGTGGGTTCCGCAGGACCTAGGAATGGAGAGGAAACAGTGGGCGGGGAAAGGGCTGCTCATGGCCCTCCCAGGGCCCGCCCCTCCCATCTGACCCCGCCCAGAGTTACACGGCCACGCCCCCTCCCCTCCCTTGAGCATTTATGGCCGCCATGCCGTCCTTCCCACTCCCCCTCAGCCCCAACCCCAACCCCGGCCTCTCCAGAACCTGGCTACCCTTCGAGACCCAGTCCCTGCCTACCTCATCCACACAGAACCCGTTTGCCCCTGAACACCCTTCGTCCTCCTCCAAAACCCTCCCACTCTGTCTGGTCCACAGTTGCACAACATCTTCCCGAGCCTCCTGGACTGGGTGCCCAGGCCGCACCAACCGCATCTTCCAGAACTTCAAGCGCCTGAGAGACCTTATCGCCCACAGCGTCCACGACCACCAGGCCTCTCTAGACCCCAGATCTCCCCGGGACTTCATCGACTGCTTCCTCACCAAGATGGCAGAGGTAATCCCTACCTGGAAATCCCACCTCTAGTCTGACCTGAAATTCTCCTGCTGCCCCGGCCTCAAACCCACAGGGACCCCAGATGGGGCAGGGTTGGGGGACCTTCTCCCTGGAGAAGCTGAAGCATCTGGCCCAGCTGGGCTGGAGCCAGGAGCCACTCACAGCCACCTCCAATTACAGCTCATTAAGAAGTCATCGAAGGCGGCGGGGCGGGGCGGGGCGGGGCGGGGGAGGGCGCGGGGGGGGCGCAGTTGCTCACGCTTGTAATCCCAGCGGCCGAGGCAGGAGGATCGCATGAGTCCAGGAGTTCGAGACCAGCCTGGACAATATAGTAAGACAGTCTCTGCAATACATACATACATACATAAAACATATTTAAAAACAAAAAAAACAAACACACAAGAAGTCATTCAAGCTCTATCCAAGAAGTTAATTGTAGGCCCTGCAGCTGAGATTTTCCCAGCCCTGCCCTTCTGCGTTCCCCAGCTCTCCTAGGGAAAGAAAGTTAAACCCAGCTGGGACTGAATGGGCCCCCAGCAGCAGTCGTACTGGTCTAGAGGGAAGGGGTCTCCATCCCTGGCTCACATCCCCACCCCTCCACCCCGGCAGGAGGAGGACCCGCTGAGCCACTTCCACATGGATACCCTGCTGATGACCACACATAACCTGCTCTTTGGCGGCACCGAGACTGTGGGCACCACGCTGCGCCACGCCTTCCTGGCACTCATGAAGTACCCGAAAGTTCAAGGTGAGGCCCACCCACACAGCAGCGCGGAGGTGCCCATGTGTTCCAGGCTCCCCCCAGAGCAGGGAGCCACTGCCCCGCCTCCCAGGTCTGAGATAGCCTCCTGCTGACCCCAGGAGTCCAAGCCAAACCCACAAACCCACACGGAGGCCCATCCCACCCACACAGACCATGAGGTCCACGCAGCCTGCCCGAATCCCGACCCCCATCCCACCCGCTTAGTTGTTTTTTTCTGTTTTTGTTTTTTTTTTTTGTTTTTTTTGGAGATGGAGTCTGGCTCTGTCACCCAGGCTGGAGTGCAGTGGTGTGATCTCGGTCGGCTCACTGCAATCTCTGCCTCCCGAGTTCAAGGGATTCTCCTGCCTCAGCCTCTCAAGTAGCTGGGATTACAGGTGCACAGCACCACATTCAGCTAATTTTTGTATTTTCAGTAGAGACAGGGTTTCACCAAGTTGGCCAGGCTGGTCTTGAACTCCTGGCCTCAAGTGATCCACTCGCCTCAGTCTCCCAAAGTGCTGGGATTACAGGCGTGAGCCACTGAACCCAGCTCTGCTTAGTTTTTTGTTTGTTTTTGAGACAGAGTCACTCTGTCGCCCAGGCTGGAGTACAATGGTGCAATCACAGCTCACTGCAGCCCCTTGGGCTCAAGAGATCTTCCCACCTCAGCCTTATCAATAGCTGGGAGTACAGGCGTGCACCACCACACTCAATACACTCAGCTAACTTTTTATTTTTTGTAGAGACAGGGTCTAGCTGTGTTGTCCTGGTAGGTCTCCAACTCCTGGGCTCAAGCAATCCTCTCACCTCGGCCTCCCAAAGTGCTGGGGTTACAGGTGTCAGCCACCGTTCCCCACCTCCACCCACTTGGTCTTGCCTTGTTCTGACCGTGTCCACCACTGCATACGTCCACCTCCGGCTCCGGAGCCCAGCTAACAGTCTTCCCAGAGCCCCAGCCACACACCTGCCAGGGAACCCTACCTCTCCCACACAGCCTGGCCCACACACACAGCTCTGTCTGCTATTCCACCTCCCCAAGCTCCACCCTGGCTAATTCTTTTTTTTATTTTTCCTTTTTTTTTTTTTTTTTATGACGGAGTCTCGCTCTGTTGCCCAGGCTGGAGTGCAGTGGCCCGATCCCAGCTCACTGCAACCTCTGCCTCCCGGGTTCAAGCGATTCTCCAGCCTCCGCCTCCCAAGTAGCTGGGACTATAGGTGTGCGCCACCATGCCCAGCTAATTTTTTAATTGGTTTCACCATGTTGCCCAGGCTTGTCTCTGACGGGGACCAGCCCCTCCACACCTGTGGGTATTTTTCGTCAAGCGGGACGAGAGGCAGAGAAAAGAAATAAGGCACAGAGACAAAGTATAGAGAAAGAACAGTGGGCCCAGGGGACCGGCACTCAGCATACGGAGGACCCGCACCGGCCCCAGTCTCTTGAGTTCCCTCAGTATTTATTGATTACTATTTTCACTATCTTGGCTAATGGAATGCGGCAAGAGAACAGGGTGATAGTGGGGAGAAGGTCAGCAGGAAAACATGTGAGCAAAGGAATCTGGGTTACATATAAATTCAAGGGAAGGTACTGTGCCCGGATGTGTGCCTAAGCCAGGTTTATGCTTCTCTCCATCCAAACGTCTCAGTGTAGCAAAGAGTAACCAAGCAGCATTGCCACCAGCATATCTCGCCTCCAGCCACAGGGCGGTTTTCTCCTATCTCAGAATAGAATGAATGTATGATCAGGTTTTACACCGAGACATTCTGTTCCCAGGGATATGCAGGAGTCAGAGGCCTTCCTCTTATCTCAACCGCAAGAGGCTTCCTCAGCACAAACCCTTCATGTGTGTCAGGCTGGGGGACAGTCAGGTCTTTCCCTTCCCATGAGGCCATATTTCAGGCTGTCTCAGTGGGGGGAAACCTTGGACAATACCCAGGCTTTCTTGGGCAGAGGTCCCTGCGGCTTTCTGCAGTGCATTGTGCCCCTGGTTAATCGAGAATGGAGAATGGCCATGACTTTTACCAAGCATGCTGCCTGCAAACATATTGTTAACAGGGCACATCCTGCACAGTCCTAGATCCCTTAAACCTTGATTCCATACAGCACATGTTTCTGTGAGCACAGGGTTGGAGTTAAAGTTACAGATTAACAGCATCTCAAGGCAAAACAATTTTCTTAGTACAGATCAAAATGGAATTTCTTATGTCTTCCGTTTCTACATAGACACAGTAACAGTCTGATCTCTCTTTTCTCTACATATCCCCCTTTTCTTTTTGACAAAACCGCCATCATCATTATGGCCCGTTCTCGCTGGTCACTGTCTCTTCAGAGCTGCTGGATACACCTGTAGACTAACAACAGACAGAACAGGCATACAAGGATTAATATGAAATTTATAGTAGTGGAACTTCTAATGATTTTAACCCAACTGACCGGGTTAAGATTTGCGAGGCCATCAGCAGCATTCACAATTGCCTCAGTTCCTGGCACCACATTTAAATGGGCTTTTGATGCCTCAAAAATGTGTTCTTTTAATTTTGAAAAGTCTAAAGTAAGATTATCTTTTCCTTGTAGGTGGTGTCTAACCATGTCCCGGTAATGCTCAGACTCATTATAGGCTTGGGGTGTAATACAAAAATCTGACGTATTCCAGTCACACTGTAACTGAAAATGATGTTCCAAGCCCATGAGCCTATCTCTCATCCAAATGACAGTTTGTCTAAGATCATTAATTTGGTTTGCCAATTTTTGATCTATTTGGGTCTGAGATTTTCACAATTTTGAGAAATTCTTTGGCCAATCATGGACATATTTTGCAGTTTGAACAGAGGATTGTAAAGCAATTCCAGCAGCCGCAGCAATAGCTGTGACTGCAATAAGGCCCATAATCACTGAAATCAAAGTAAAAATGAATCTTTTGGATCAAGTTAGAATTCCTTTATAATACTTCCATTAAAATATGGATGAATGGCGAGGCCTCCCACGGTTGGTCCATGGACACAGGATCCACACGCCCTCTCTTGCTCTCACTAGTAGAATATGGTGCTGCCAATTAAAAGTCGAATCAATGCAAGGAAAAAATCTACAATTTTCACAGGTTATAGTTTGGGAATCTGGTTTGATAACTATGTTTCCTACAACTAGCATATAAGGGGGTTTTATACAACTTTGCAAAGAAATTGTCAGACTGGAATTTAGGTTGATAGTATAATATGGCTTATAATCTCTTGTTCCCGTGGCTTGATTTCCAGACCAAATTCTAATGTGGTGCAAGGCCACAGTAAACTTCCATAATTCTGGATGTTCAGGACCAGTAACAGGACTAACTAACTTTGGTCGAGGTGATGAAATTCCCTTTTCACCCCATTTCCATGGATAGGGTGATTCTAACCTTCTATAAATCTGGTTCAGTGTTTCAGTTAAATCACTATCATAGGCCGGATTAATGGGCAAGATGGCTGGGGCCTGTGAATATGAGTGAGTCTGGCCCGTACAATTATGATATAATTGGCCTCGAGGGGCCCAGTCTATACTAGTTCCGAGTTCATTGTTTTGTAGTACCACCACAGTATCAGCCACATATTCTTCCCAAACTGAGACTTCTGGGCTTTTTGGTTCTTCGGGAATTTCCTTGGGGCAAGGCTTCCCCTTAGGCCTAGATTTTAATGATCTTTGATAAGAAGGGTCCTGTAAATCATTTATTTGTGGCCCGAGTTACATTCCACTTACCATGTGATAAGTAAATCTACTGGTAGCACTGACAGTAGGTACTTTTACCAACCAATTTTGGGTTGTAGGCAGGCATTAAACATCCTGGTGCCTTCCCTAGGCCAATAGGAGGATAATGATACCCAATAGAAATATTTTTCGTCATTTCTTCTTCTTCAGGATGGGCAGAGCAACGGTCATCTGTGGGGCCAGGTACGCATGCACTATTATTAACATATACTTCAATAGGATTATCCATCCATGTGACTGCCCGAATGAAGGGCGGGAAAGGCACATAGGCCCAGTGGGTATAATTAGCTGCAGCTGCTCCTACAGACATGGGAAGACTTACCACCATTGATACAATCATCAAAGCTGCAAGCAGCATATTCTCTGGAGTTTGTGTCACCTTTGTGTTTTCTAGGCTTTTTTCAGCCAACTGTGTCAGCTTCTTTAATTGTGCCCAAGTCGGCAGCTCTGCTTTCTTGGTGGATGACAGCATTATCTGTAAGTTGTAGATACCTAAACTGGAAGCTGGTTTTTTTCCTGGAGAAATACAAGCAAAACCTCTCCCCCACGTTATCACCTTCCCTATTTCCCATGTTTTATTTTTATTATCTTTTTACCAAATCAGTTTTTCTTCATGTGGGCTGTTCCTTTTACCATTAAGTTGTTGTTCTACAGAGGTAGTGGTCTGATTTCTATAAATGTTTAAAAAATTTAAAGTATAGCGTGCTAGATTAAGTTGCATCTGGGGAGCGTTATACTCTTTACTGTCTTTTCCTTTTTTTTTTTTTTTTTTAACCAATTGAGCTTTGAGTGTTCTATTAGTTCTCTTAATTATGGCCTGTCCTTGGGAATTATAAGGAATTCCTGTTGTGTGTGTAATTTTCCACTGATTTAATAATTTTTGAAATGCTTTACTACAGTATCCTGGTCCATTGTTCGTTTTAATTTTTTTTTGAACTTTTGTGGTAGCAAAACAAGATAATAAATGTCTTTTAACATGGGAAGTACTTTCTCCTGTCTGGCAGGTTGCCCATATGAAATGTGAATAATTATCAACTGTCACATGGACAAATGACAATTTTCTAAATGAACCTAGGAGGCAGAGAGGTTACAGTGAGCCAAGATTGTGTCACTGCACTCCAGCCTAGGTGACAGAGCTACACTCCGTCTCAAAAAAAAAAAAAAAAAAAGTATAAATTGCTTAAAACAGTGTGTGACACATAGTAGGCATTCAGCTCATGTTAACTGTTGTTTTCCCTGTGGCCACTGATAATTCTTCACACCCTGTGTG